CATTTCCGAGGTTCACCATTCAGCTGGGGAGTGGACAGCCCCATGAAACCAAATGGGACTGATGAGGTACAGCAGTCCAGGGATAGGGGCTGGAAGGCAGAGGGGGACAGGAAAGCTGGTGATGGGGAACCCAAGGTTGAGTAAGGATAGTATTGATGTGCTGTGGGGTTGTTAGCCATTGTCATAGGGCAACATGTGTACTAACTGTTAAATGAGAAACTATTTTGTTCTGTTAACCTTCATCTAAAGTGAGAATAGCAGAACAATTGGAAGAGCATGGTCGATGGCACTGAACTGTGCATGTAGAAATTTTTGAAATGGTGTATCTTTGGCTATGCATATTTTCACCAAAAAAAGAGAGGGTCGAGAAGGGAGAGGGTTGACATGTTGTGGGGTTATTGACCAATGTCATAGAACAATATCTGTACTACTGTTCCATGAGAAACTATTTGTTCTGTAGGCCTTCACCTGAAGTACAATAAAATAAATAAATAAATAACAAAAAAAAAAATTTTTTTCCGAAAAAACGTGGTGAGCAGCTCTGTAGTGACCTCCCAGCAGGGCCTGGGAGTCCTTGCTGTGTGACCAACTCCCCACAGCCATAGACAGAGTATTTTAGTGTAAGGGAATGAGTCAGACCAACCTGGATTTTGAGTCTGAAACTGCCCCTTAGTAGCTCTGTGACCTCGAGCAACACAATTCTCTGGACTCAATTTCTCTTTGATAAAATGCGACTGATACTATCTGTTTTGTGAAGTTATTGTGAGGATTGGCAATACTATATGAATAGCATCTGGCATATAGGAGGTAACATGAGTGGTTAGGAGAATAAACTCTGGAGTCAGATGCATTGAATTCAAATCCAGACCCCCATATTCAGTAGTGTTCCCAAGCCTTAGTTTCCTTATCTATAAAATAGGCCTGGTAATAGAACCTTCCTCATATATTTGTCATGAGGATTAAAGGAGAGCTTGTGTAGGAAATAATCAGCATGCATATAAAATGATCCACCTAGAGGGTTAGGCACTATTTTTATCATCATTGTTGCTGTCATTAATCTTGGAGCGTCTCAATAAATGAAACTTATTTTCTGATTTCAAGGGCGAAGTATTTGAAGAACATCCACCCTGACTTGTATCTTAGATTTTTCTCCCAAGATAGAGCCACCCCAGTGCAAGGGCTGCACCCCACCCCTTGAGAGAATAAAGGTAGAACCTCCTCACAGAATGTGGGCCTGGAGCCCATGGCTTCAATCTAAGACCCTGTACATCACTTCAGCACCCAACAGGGAGTTTCTGTAGGGCAGGATACTCAATAGTTTGTTGGCAAAAATGTTTCAGGTAGAGCGAACACCTGAGCTCTAATCTTATCTGACTCCAGCATGCTGTGTGACCATGGAAAGGTCATTTAACTTCTCTGAGCCTTAGTATCCTCATAGATAATATGGGCAGACTGTGACTGACTGTCTTTGTCACTAGAAGTGTTATCAAGAGGCTTTAGTCTCAGGGCTCTGGAAAGCACACAACACTAGACAAAGAGTTAATGAAGATATTAATGTGCCTTCTAAAAATATGTTGGTTTCTGCCTTGTTAATTAGGGCCCAAAGCAGGCACCCACCAAGTGAGGTATTAAAACTACTAGAGGCCCTTGTTTGAAATGTCCTTGATGTACAATGAATATAGGAAGAAGTCAGAACATTGCTGTATTTGGGGAGGGAGCAAATACCCGTGTTCTTCATTATATCTAGTTCAAGGACCTTTAAATAATCCCCAAGAGCCTCCAAATACAATCTGCTTCCTGTTTGCATAAGGAAAAAGAGACGATTAAGACCAGGGTGATGAAAGAGAAACACATTAGCCAAGTAGTGCCTCCAAAATTGCATTTTTCTCTTGCTCCCTTCCCTAGTCCTGCTTTCAGGCCCTGTCACAGTCCCCCTCGCTCAGGAGTGAACATTTCTGTGCAAACTTCAGTGTATATGGAAATAAACAGCATGACAAAAAGATAACATGAATTGGATAAACTGGATGCTAATATTATTTCAGCAAGTCTGTGCAAACAGGTCACTCCATTTGATCTGAAACCCATTCTGAGTATAAAAGACTCTTTAGGATTCAAAATGCCCCTTTTTCATTTTTTTTCTTTTTCTATTTTTTTTTTTTTTTTTTTGCCTCCAAAAGTATCATTCTTCTGAATAAGCACAACCTCTTGTCTGCATTAAATTTGTGAAATAGAAAAGGAAACGTCTCCAGGCAGCCATGCTTTCAAAGCGTAAATGATGTTTATTTCCAGCCTGATGCTGTGCTCGAAACTGTGACACTGATGCAGCATTATCTCCGCTTTGCACTTAGGGGGTGGAGAACTATGACTTCCACATCCGCAACCAATTTCAGAGGGGATTAAAGACCTGCCTGCTCTGAAATTTGAACAATGAATTAATTACAGCACTGTAGTTTCTTGGGAGGAAGAGCAGGCATCCGATCTCAGCGATGCCATCACTGGGTGCAACGTGCTCCCTCTAAGTTGCAAAGACTCCAGCTAGACAGAACCCAACCCATAGCCGGTGAGTTGATTTGGACTCATAGTGGCCCACAGGACAGAGTAGAACTGCACCATACCGTTTCCAAGGCTGTAATCTTTACAGAAGCACACTGCCACATCTTTCTCCTGCAGAGCAGCTGGTAGGTTGGAACCGCCAACCTTTCAGTTAGCAGCCAAGCAGTTAACCACTGTGCCACCAGGGCTCCTTTAAACAGTGTCCAACACAGAGTAAACAACTAAATACAGTTTCCTATAGGTGGAGGATAAATCTTACTATCAGTAAGTTATTTTTTGTGATCTTCAAAGAACCTAATTAAAGATCCCAAGGAGGTCGAATCAGACAGGAGAAGTAGAAAACAAGCAAGATCCTACTCTGTCTCAGGAGGAAGCAAACACTCTTTTAATGTTAAAACTCCAAGACAAGTGTTAGAACAATTAAGATTTACTTCATTTATTCAAATAATTTTTTAATATCTGCTATGTGTCACGAAGAACACTAAATAACCAAAAACCAAACCCACTGCCGACAAGTAGATTCCAACTCACGGCGACCCCATATGTTACAGAGTAGAACTGAGCTCCACAGGGTTTTTTGGTTTTGTTTTGTTTTTTAGGGAGGGGCTGTAATCTTTATGGAAGCAGATCACCGGGCCTTTCTTCCACAGCATCACTGGGTAGACTCAAACCACCAACCTTTCCTTTAGTAGTTGAGCACAAACTATTTGTACTACCCAGGGATGGACAAATATTAGGCACTGGGTATAACAGGGATCAAGACAGACATGATCCCTGTCCTCATGAAGCTTACAATCTAAATCAGGGCTCAGCAGACTTTTTCTGCAAAGAACAGATAATAAATGTTTTAGACCTTGCAGGCCACACAGGCTGTGTCCCCACTACTCAACTCTGCTGTTGTAGCATGCAGCCATAGACAATATGCAAACAAACCGATGTGGCTGTATTTCAACAAAACCTTATTTACAGCTGGATTTGGCCTGCAGGCTATAGTTTGTCAGCTCCTGATCTAGCTCAGTCTTGCTATTCAAAATGTGGTTCTCAGACCAGCAGCATTGGCATCACCTGGAAGCTTGTTAGGAATGCAGATTCTCAGGCCCCACCCCAGGCCTAAGTCAGAATCTGCATTTTTTAACCAGATACCCAGGTGATTCATATGAGTCTTAAAGTTTGACAAACACTAGTATAGGGAAGGAGCCCTGGTGGCGCAGTGGTTAAGAGATCGGCTGCTAGCCAAAAATTGGCAATTCAAATCCACCAGCCGCTCCTTAGAAACCCTATGGGGCAGTTTTACTCTGTCCTGTAGGGTCCCTCTGAGTCAGAACTGACTCAACAGTAATGGTTTGGTTTTTGGTTTTAGTATAGGTAAAAAGAAATTTAAAGAAAGAAAGAAAACATTTCCTATCATCATCCCATAGAGGAAGGTCAGGGTGCAATGGACGTATAGTAACCAGGAGACCCTTAGCCTAATCAATCAGGAAGAAAATTTAAGCTGTGACCTGAAAGAATACTAGAAAGAATATAATACAAATAATAGTAGTATCAGAGAGTCTTTTCAAAATAACACTGGCCCACCCATTAGGAAACGAGCTTCTACCATGAATACTAACCTGCTGAAAGATTTCTCACAAGACCCTGTAACTCTCTGTGCCTCAGCTACAGAAAACTGAGGAGTTCAAGTCCTAACTCCCGCACCAACTGCTTATGTGGCCTTGGGCAAGTCAGCAAACCACATCACAATACGTTAGGGGCAGTAGTAGTGACCTGTGGAGAGACCTTGAGTGGAAAGAACTTTAAAAACAACATCTAGGCCGACCCAACCTGTTGCTGTCGAGTCGATTCTGACTTATAGTGACCCTATAGGACAGAGTAAAACTGCCCCATAGAGTTTCCAAGGAGCACCTGGTGGATTCAAACTGCCGGCCTTTTGGCTAGCAGCTGTACCTCTTAACCACTGTACTACCAGGGTTTCCACATCTAGGTAGGGGACTTGATCATTCCCTTTCTGAGTTACATGACCATCAGGAAAGTGTTGTGAGGTAAACCTTCTCGTGCGGTCAGTCCTCCTCCTGCCAGGTATCCTGATCACAGTTCAGGCTTCCTCAGTGACGTCGCTTTCTATTACTACACTACCAATAGTAACCACTGCTATTCATTTATCACATGCCATGGTCTAGGTACTACTATTCCCATCCGACATGACAAAGTGATATTCAGAAAGGTTTAGCAATTTGCTCAAGGTCACACTGCTAGTATGTGACAAAACTAGGGATTCAGAGTCAGGCCTCCCTGCTTCCGAAGCCTGTACTCTTAACCATCATAGTATATTTCCCTTAATAAGTTGGTAGAGTTCCTTTAGGTCCTGAGAAACATTATTAATAGTAGTAGTATTAATAGTAGAGCCCTGGTGGGGCCCAGTGGTTAAGCGTTCCACTGCTAACCAAAAGGTCAGCAGTTCGAATTCACCAGCCACTCCTTGGAAACCCTATGGGGCGGTTCTATTTTGTCCAATAGGGTCACTATGAGTCGGAATCAACTGGACGGCAATGAGTAGTATTAATAGTAGCAGTAATGGCGGCAGCAGCTTACAGTGGGAAGACAGAGCTGTCTCTAATCTGTATACAACTTTGCATGTTACGAATGAGGAAACTGACACTCCGAGCGTAGGTGACTTGTCTGAGCTCCTAAGCAGCAATCGGTGACTGGTTGCTCTCTGCCTGCAGTGCTACGTCAACCTGCTTTTCTGGTATCAGTTCTTCTGTGGCTTCTCTGGCTCCACCATGATCGATTACTGGCAGATGATATTCTTCAATCTCTTCTTCACCTCCTTGCCTCCCCTCATCTTCGGAATCCTCGATAAAGACATCTCTGAGGAGATGCTTCTGGCGTTGCCTGAGTTATACAAGAGTGGCCAGAACTCTGAGGTAAGGGGCTTGGGCAGCTAGGGGAGGTGGCATCTCCCTGATCTCCGCTTCTCCCTGGAGGTGTCAGAGAAAGAGCCCTGGGCTGGAGGTTAGGAGCTACTGCTCTGTCACTTAGCTCCCGTGTGACTTTGAGTAACTCCCCTTCCCTTTCCAACCTGTCTCTCATTTACTGTTGAGGGTGTTGGACCAGACCAGTGGGTATTCTTCTTTGTAATTATGTATTTGATTACATCACACATTAACAAGCGGCTGCCCTTGTTGAAGGGGGAGGGAGGACATGCAGAAGGATCCCAGCCCCCTCGACCAGCCCCTCCATCCAGGCTGTGAGGAACACCTACAGAACTCCCAGGGCCCAGTTTGAGAACCACTGGAACTGGCACCCAATTTCCTCACCACTGGTTAACCAAACCAGTTGCCGTCAAGTTGATTCTGACTCATGGCAACCCCATGTGTATCAGAGTAGCACTGTGCTCTGTGGCGCTGTCAATGGCTGATTTTTGAGAAATGGATCACCAGGGCTTTCTTCCAAGGTGCCTCTGGGTGGACTCAAACTTTCAACTTTTCAGTTAGCAGCCATGTAAGCATGTTAACGGTAAGCATGTTAACCATTTGCACTACCCTGGAACTCCCACAGGTAAAGGCATTCATAAACAAGTGCTTGTACTTCACATTGGAGAAGGCAAAACTTAGAACTCAAGATTTCCACATGGTCTAGAACTTGCTCCTATCAAGTAGACTTGGTTCTATGTGCTCGCTGGTATCAAGTGAAGAAGGCCTGAGGGCCACTGAGGATGGTTTCCTAGAAGGCACAGAGGCTACACTAAGATTTGGAGGAGTCAGACAGTAGTCACTGCAGGCAGCCAGAGGAGCACAGGCCCAGGCAAGGGGGCTGGGTGGAGGAGACGGAGAGGGGACCATACTACCTCACATGAGGAGCAGCAGGAAAAGCAACCAAGAGTGTCTTTGCACTTGGGGAAAGGAGGACAAAGCCAGATGTGGTGTTGGAGACCTGGTGACATTGGGGGACAGCCAACAAAGGACCAAGTCCAGTGCTAACTCAAAGGCTGGTAGAAAGAGGAACACAGCAACCCAGGCAGTTCAGGCAAAGAAGGAGTATGGCAGCACACACACATCTTGGGCTCTTGGACTGTTACCCATGGACACACTGGCTGCATAATGTATTCCTTGAGTATCTAACATTAAAAAGAAGTTAATGTAGCAAAAACACAACTGTAAATGGTTTTGCTTTTCCCAGGGAAGGCACAGAGAAGGAAGCATGAAATGAGAAGGCTTATCTCTGAAGCCCTTGGGCTCTGTTTCTTGGGAACCTGTGGTCCCAGCTGGTAATTGAGAGCGTCCTTGCAGATGCCATTTAGAATCTGTAGAATCTCTAAACTTACTGTTTGTAGTAGTGTTCACAATAGTACTAATGAATGATAATAATAACTAACTTATAGATACAAAGGCACAATCACATTTGGTCCTCTTGAAGCCCAGGGGAATAGGTAATATTATTTTTATCCACATTTTGGGGAAGAAGAAACCAGTTCTCAGAGCAGTTTTGTGATTTTTACAAAATCATACAGTGGTGGAACTGGGACTTGAACTGAGGTCTGCTCTTAAACACTCCACTCCATTGCCTCTAAGATAAGAAGCATTTTACTTGCCATATTGTCTGCCCCCTGACACGCACAGGAAAGTTGCTTGCAAGAATAGAGGCTTGCTCTGTTGGTGGTAACTGTTGGCATGTTCTTTCCTGGTAGTACTACAATCTGTCGACTTTCTGGATTTCCGCGGTGGATGCATTCTATCAGAGCCTCATCTGCTTCTTTATCCCTTACCTGGTAAGTCATTTAGACCCACTGTAACCATATAAATTACAGGGTGGAACCTGTTCTGTTTATATGCAATTCTGGGCCTGTAGTGTCTTTCTGAGCAGAGTGTCCAAACAGGTGTCCTGTGGGCCATTATCTGGGTAAAGTCAGAACACTTTACCCAGATATCGTAATTCCTGGCTGCTCTTGAAAATTGGAAGATGTTTTTACACTGGGTAGTTCTTCCCTCTTGGCACCAAGTTGGAGTTGACTCACAGCTCTGCTTGTATGGGATACATGCTCTCCAGTTTGCCAGTCTCCCGTACTCCACTTTGTCTTACACCTGTCCTTCATTCACTGACTGTTTCCTACTTGACCACTGAAGGTATCTGAGTTTGCAAACCTTGGTGTATATATAAATTTCTGCTTCCAAAGTCAGAGCAGCAAGAGTTCAGGTAGCAAGTTCTAATAGAAGGGATACTGCATCACCTGAAAGACTGCAGAGAGCAAGGGATACCAGCACCATCTCAATTTGGTTCCCAGTTTGAATAGCAAAAATTTAGATAGTGAAAGGATACCAGTATTCCTCCAGCCATGGGGTTAGAATGTTGAGTACTTGCCCCCCAGGTACCAGCTTCTGGGCACATATTCTTTTTCAGTTGGCAACAAGATAGCAGTGGAAGGAGGCAAGCATCTTATGCTTTGTTTGAATTACCTGGTTTACAACACCCTTCCTGACCAGGCCTCTTCTTTTACCTTTTCTACTTCTTCGTTTGTCCCTGCTCTTTTGCCCCAGACCTACCATACAAGACAATTTGGAGTTCTACAAACCCACCACATTCACCTTCAGTTCTACCCTTACTTGGAATGCACTTCCCCTCCCTCTTCGACTGATTTACACCTTTTTTCTAATCTCAGCTGAGATATCCCCTCTTCTGTGCTCCCAAGATGCCTTATCCTTGCCTCTATTGCAGCCCTTACCCCCTTAGTTGGACCACATCTGCCCCGACTAATAGATTGTAAACCCCTTGGAAGTGAACATGGACATTTACTCAGCAATTAGTACAGTACCTGGTGTTCAGTAAATTCTTTGCTCATTTATTCCACAATGTTTTTGGAGCACCCAACCGTGGCTTCCTCTGGATACTATGTTCCTAAATAATTTAGTCCTATCAACTCACTCCTCATCTTGGTCTCTTCCATGGGTCACTTCCACATGGATTGCAGCTGAGGCCCTTGGTCTCTCCCTGTCGTTTCCCCTCCCTTGACACCTGCCTTCACTGATGGTCTGTAATCATCTGTCAAAGCCAAAACCTAGTTCTTCCATGGACACAGCTGTCAGTGCCTGTTTGTTCCTCTCTGCAGACCTACAAGGACTCTGATATTGACATCTTCACCTTTGGGACACCCATCAACACCATTGCCCTCACTACAATCCTCTTGCACCAGGCAATGGAAATGAAGACCTGGGTAAGGACTGCAGGGTCTCTTTGTCTTAAAAATTGGGCTCCTGTTCATTAACCCTATTCATATTTCTGAGATGTTTCACTCCATATTATTGATCCACCCAATAAATACATACTGAGCTCCTACCTGTGTCCTACCTGCATAGGGAGACAAGTGGTGTAAAAGAAAAAATTCCTGACTGCAATCTGCTTATCACCTAGCAAGGATGATAAAACTAACATATTTGAAACAAGGAGACAATCAGTTGTAAAAATGGATATTGTTGATAAAAATTTCTGAGGTGTTTCGTGGAAGAGAAAGCGTTAAAAAATTACAGACCAATCTCACTAATAAACGTAGATGTAAACAATGCTAAATAAAATATTGGCTGGCAAATCAACTCAACAGCATGTTAAACACAATAAAGCATGGGACCACTATGAGTGAGAATCAACTTGATGGTACCCAACAACAATCTTAGTTTCCTAGGTCTGCCATACAGAAATACCACAAAGTGGGTGGCTTTAAAGAACAGAAGTTTATTTTCTCACAGTTCTGAGGGTTAAAAGTATGAATTCAGGGCATCAGCAGGGCTCTGCCCTCTCTCTCTTTGTCAGCTCTAAAGGAAGATCCTTCCTTGGGTCCTTCCATTTCTGTAGTCCCAGGCATTTCTTGGCGTTCTTTGGCTTGTAGAAGGATCCTCACATGCTATATTCTCCCTGTGTGTGATTCTCTTTTTATAAGACATCACTCAGACAAGATTAGGACCACGCTACTCTGGTACGATGTCATTAACTTAACTGATAATATCTACACAGAAAATAAAGACCCTTTTTCCATAAACAAGGTCACATTCACAGATACAGGGGTTAGGACTTCAACATATCATCTAGGGGACACAATGTAATCCATAACAATGACCAAGGAATTTTCATATGCTACTAGTAGACTATAAAGTGGTACCACCCACTGAAGAGAATTTTGAAAATAGCTAGAAAAGTGTAAAGTACTCACACTCTATGACACAGTTCCACTTCTAAGTATACACCATGGAAATTCTCTTACACGTCTAACCAAGAATGTTCATTGCAACATTGTTCTTAATATCAAAAAAATTGGAAACAGCCTAAATATTCATCAGCAGGAAAATAAATAAATTGCAGCATACTCATACCATAGAATAGCTAGTGTGAATAAACTAGAGTTATATCTATCAGCATAGGTAAAACTACAAAACACAATATTGAGTGAACAAAGCTGCAGAAGGCTATACATGATAAAGTAAAAAAGCATCCATAAACATGGATGCACATGTATATATAAAATATTCATAAGAATGGTAAACACTGAATTTATGTTCAAGATTAAAGAGGGGGAGATTTGTGAGGAATGCACGGGGGTTCCATTGTATTTATAAGACTCTTTTAAGAAAAGCCGAGGCAAATACGGCATAAGGTTAAAAGTGATAAAGCTGTATGTTTGGTATATGAGGTATATTGTCTGTGTACTTGAAATATTTCACAGTAATTTAATTACATTTTTAAAAAACTAGCCCAACATATTTCCCAAAAGGAACACTGCTCTCTATGACTTCATCATTAGATTTTTTTTTTTTTAACCTTTCAAAATGCCCCACAAAGTAATCAGGCCTCAATTGTGTATTAAATAGGTAATGAGACTAAAGATGCTGTATCCTTTCTGATTGGTCATTCAGTCTGCTTTCTAAAAACACTGCAACTTGCTACCTTAAAAAGAGGAGGCCTGTTCTCTTCACTCAGTTCTCAGCATTACTAGTCCAGCTAATACGTCTCTAGTCTAGGTACCCCAACAGTTACTCAAATTATTTTGAAAAGTGCATGTCCATTTTTGGAAGTGCTTAAAGCAGGGAGAGAGCCTTTTTCTTCCTTGTAGAAGTCTAACGTGAATTGTAATAGCTGTGTCAGTTTTCACAATCCCCACCAAAGCAATTGAAAGTGTTAGCTAACTACTTTCTTCTTCAGGAACAGGGGCTGGGTTATTCAGCCACCTCTCCCACTGAAAACAACTAAAAATACTGGTGGGATTTGGAGGGAGGACTCCTTAAATGCATGAAAGAGCTAACGAGACAATAAAGACCCAAACCTCGGGTGCGGGGTAGGGGGGAATTCTAGAGAGGCAAGCTGGGCCAAAGCCTCTGTTTCCTTGAGGGTGTTTGTAATCCGGCCCAATATGAACTTTGCTTTTGGCAGACTTGATGAGTGAAAGGTCCAGAAATCAAAGTTCATGCTCCCAAGGTAGGGTCTAATAAGAGATTCTGCCCATATTAAATTGGGACCCCAATAATGACAACACCTTCAAGGTCAGAGTAAACCTAGAGGTGGACCTACCCATAAACGTCCCCTCCCCACCCCGAGCAGGGACTGCAGGGATTGGTCCCAGGGTGCTGAACAGAGCAGGGAGAATCAACGTAAAGGACCTATCCTGGGAGATTGTGACCCATGGGCTGGCCTCAAACAAATTTGCAGCCCAGGTTCATATCACCCAGGTGATCCACACTGGACTTAGGAATTCAGTTTAAAGTGATTCAGGATTGACAAAGCCCAATGGCATCTGCAAAAAAAAAAAAAACCCACAAATCCTCTCTGCAGAAAAGTATCTTCATCCTAAGCCTCAAATTGTCTCCACTAATAACTTCTTCATGGGCAGTAAGCAGCACACATTCAAAGATAACCAAGCTCACAAGGAAACAAGAACCAATGAGTGAGGATCAACAAAAAAAATCAGAAACAAATAGTTCATATACTAGAATGAACAGGTATAAATCATAGAAAAGCTGTTTGCTATGTTTAAGGAAATAAAGAACAAACTTAAAAATATCTGCAGGAATTTGGAAATTATGCAAAGCAACCTAGCAGATTTGAAAGCAGACCAAACAGAACATTTAGATATAAAAAAATAGTAACTATAATTTAAATTCAATGGTTGATTTAAAAGCAGATTCGACACAGCTGAGGGAAGAATTAGCAAATTTGTCAAGATATACTATTCCAAATATAAAGCAGAGAGGAAAAATAATGGAAATTATGAAAGAAATATTCATAAATAGAGCGGTATCTGAAAAGGTTTAGCATACATTTGATCAGAGTTCCAGAAGGAAAGGAAATAGGGAATGAGGCAGAGGCAATATTTGAAAAAATAAAGAATTTTGCAGAAGTGGTAAGACATCACTCTACAGATTCAAGAAGGGCAACAAAACTTAAGCAAGATAAATAAAAGTAAATCCACACTTATCATATGATAGGGAAAGTATAGAACGTGAAAGACAAAATTGAAATCATAAAAGCAGACAGATTTTAAGAGAGACTTCCTTCTAAGGAAGAACAAATAAACTTCTCAACAGTAACAATGGAAGCCAGAAGAGAGTGGAATGTTATCTTAAATATTCTGAAAGAAAATAACTGCCAAACAAGAATTCTATGTCCATTAACAGTATCTTTCAAGAATGAGAATGAAATAAAGCATTTTTCAGAAAAAGTAAAACAGACAGTATAGCAGCAGACCCCCACTTAAGGAAATTATAAAGGATGTACGTCAGGCAAGGAGCTCTGGTGGCGCAGTGGTTAAGAGTTTCGCTGCTGTCTTACTTATCTAGTGCTTGGTATAACAGAAAACCACAAGTGGATAACTTTAACAAGGAGAAATTTATTCTTTCACAGTCTAGGAGGCTAGAAGTCCAAATTCAGGATGCTAGCTCCAGGCGTAGGAAATAAAGAACTTTCCCTCTCTGTCAGCTCTGGGGGAAGGTCCTTGTCATCAATCTTCCCCCACTGAGGAACGTCTCAGCACTGGGACTCCCAGTCCAAAGAGCACACTATTCTCCTTGCTCTTATTTCTTGGTGATATGAGGTACCCCGTCTCTCTGCTCGCTTCTCTCTTTTATATCTCAAAAGAGATTGACTTAAGACAAAACCTAATCTTGTAGCTTGAGTGATTAACTAACTACCTCGAATCCTGCCTCATTAACATCATAGAAGTAGGATTTACAACACATGGGAAAATTATATCAGATCACAAAATGGTAGACAGTCACACAATACTGGGAATCATGGCCTAGCCAAGTTGACAAACATTTTTGGGGAACACAACTCAATCCACAACAGTTGCTAACCAAAAAGTCAACAACTTGAATCTACCAGCCACTCCTTGGAAACCCTGTGGGGCAGTTCTACTCTGTCCTGTAGGGTCGCTATGAGTCAGAATAGACTCGATGGCAATGGGGTTTTATGCAAAAGGAAAGTAATCTCAAATGAAGAATCCAAGATCCACAAAGAAATGAAGGCATAGAAAGTGGTAAACATGTAAGTCTAAATGAATACTGACATATTGAATAATAATAATAATGACTTAAGAGATTCAAAAATTGATACATTTAAAATATACAACAATAATACGTAAGCCAGAAGAGAGGTAAACAGAGTTAAAGTGCTTAAAGTCCTTGTATAATTTAGGAGAAGGGAAAGGTAGTTATAAGCTTTAGCCTGTGGTATGTTAAGATTGCTCGTTATCATTTATTGCATAACCACTAAAAGAATAAAGATGGAGTGTATAATTTCCAAACTAGTACAGGGGGGAAATGAAATTATACGAATTAGTCAATAAGTTTAAAAGGAGACAAGAATGGAAAGAAAAGAAAGAAGCACAGAACAGGCAGGACAAAATAAGATGAGACAACGGAATACTACACTGCTCCGAAAATGAATGAACTACAGCCACGTGGGGAAAAAACAGGTTCATCACACAAATACAGAATTGAGGGGATAATGATAAAAAAAAAAATCACACAGAATATGATTCTATTATCTGATATTTGAAAACAGGCTAGATAGGGAAGCATAAGTGGTAAAACTACAAAGAATAGTATGGAAATTATCATCACCAAAGCCACGAGAATGGTTGGCCCCAAGGATGAGACAAAAGGGTGGGCTTCTGGTAGGAAGGCAATATTCAAATTCTGAGTGTTCAAAATATGTTCAGACATGTATACATGTGTTCAAAAACATGGGTGTTTGTTTTATAATGATCCATTAAACTGTGCACTTGCATGAATTTTTTATTTGTGTGTTGCATTTAAAAAAAAAAAATTTGAAACAGTTAGCCAAGTAGTGGGCTTGCACTGCCCCTAATCTAAGCTATCCTTTCTTCTTTCCTTCCGCAGACCGTTATCCACGTACTTGTCCTTGTCGGCAGCTTCCTAACGTACTTTGTAGTAACCCTAGTGTACAACGCCACCTGCGTCACATGCAACAGCCCCATCAACCCATACTGGGTGATGGAAGACCAGCTCTCAGACCCCACCTTCTACCTCGTCTGCTTCCTCACTCCAGTCGTGGCTCTTCTCCCAAGGTTTGAGCACGGGCGTTGTTTTTCTCCTACAACTACCAGTCTCTCCTTAATAAACTGTTTCATAACTTAAAAGAGTCAGGAGTTTGACTCCTGCTGGAATCCTTCAGGCTATGGTTTTAGAGACAAGGTGTGAGACTAGAAAAAACAATGAACTAAGAGGCAAGTAACACGGACTCTGGTTCCAGGTAAGCCACAGGGTATCAAAGTCACCAGATCTGGCAGGGCCTCAGTTGTTAACATCTGTAAAATGGAAGTAATGTTTTCTAACCTCCTGCCTTACAAGTTTTGTTGTGGGATTGGGAGTCATTTTGAGAAGCACTTTGGTCCTTTTTTATGAGCTCAGGAGTCTCACACTCAAATGTCTACAGAGACAAGCAAGTAACTACAGCAAGCCAGGTGAAGTTTAGACAGTGGGAGGAAGAATTTCTCAGCTTTACCCTATCATTGCCATAAGGAAAGATCAAGTCTAGCCTTCCAGAGCTTCGTTTTTTTACCAGAAGTTCAAAGTTTGCATGAAATCTCCAACTTTTTAATATTACTCAAATTTGTTTAAAAAAAAAAAAAAAAGAACCTCTGTAAGCCAAATAAATCATCCATGCCCAGGGACTATTTCTGGCATTTCTCACATAAATCCTCTGCATTAGCCTTTTCCAGAAAAATAGCAACAGCAACAACACTAATGCATTACCTCCCTTTAGAACTCATTCGTGGAACACACTCTCCCACCATCCTCTCATTTTGTTTTTGGCATCATCTAGAAGTTAAGACAAAACTGTGGGTCTAGTCCCACTTGCTCATCGGACAGCTGTAGTCCCAAGAGAGACCAGGACACATCCACAAGCCCCACACAAATCAAAGTGGAGCTGGATTCTCTCAAATCAGAGGCCAACGTTCAATTTTCCAGCCTACGCTGCTCCGGTAAGAGCAAGTGGTGAACTTGACAATGATATACCCATAGATGAGACAGCCTCTCTCAGTCCCCAGGATCTCACCACTCTGAACATCGAAATCCAGCCACCTTATTACTATAATCTGTAGTCAACAGCCCATAGCAACACTGAATTTAACAACACGGAACATAGCAACATAGAACTTTTTCTATCCCTAGATTAGGGAGAGGGACATCCTCAGGCCTTGCTTCCTTTAATAAATTTAGCAACTTACTTAACCTAGTTTGGTCTCCATTTCCTCTTCCTAAGACACCGTAGAACCTTGGCCTCTGATGTAGAGTTGGAGGCTGAAGATACCAAGATGGCAAGTACTGTTGGAGTCAGCGAATTCCACAAATGTTAGCTGAGTTCTAAGTACATGCTGTGTGCATGGCCTCCCTGCTTGGTCCCTACCAGTGCCCACAGCCTTATCTCCTCACTCCCTGCCTCAGACATTGGACTCCATCACCAGGCTTCTTGTACTTCACCTAAGACCCCATGCCCTCTCACTTCCCTGCCTTCGCTCACTGTGTTTCTTCTGCTTGGAATACCCTTTTCATTTCTTTCCCAGGCAAAACCTCCTCATCCTTTGTATCATTTCAGGCATGACCAGTTCCAGAAGCCTTCCGTGACTTCACCTGTCCTCTCAGGCTGAAACAGGTCCCTCTCTCTCATGTGTCCCCATTACCTGGGTGTATCTCTGTCATTGCCCTTACCACATTTATTATAAATGACCTGTTTGTCCCTGTCTGACCCTCAACTACTTGGGAGGAGGAATCCTCCTTATCTTTCTATCCCCAACACCTAGCATTGTTCCTGTCACATATTCTGCACTCAGAGATGAATGGGTAATGGATGCTGAAAGAACAAAAAGATAAAACAGGGTCCTTGCTCTCAAGAAGCCTATAGTCCAGTGATAATTCAGACGTAGGTTTGACCATAATACAAGGTGAGAATGACTAGGAGTAACAGAACACCCTGAGAGTGTAGAGTGAGAAGCAACTAAGAAGCAGCATCAGGCCTCAGGGTACATTTTTCCCACCCCACCCATTCTTCACCTCATCCCTGGGGAGAGAAGCCACGAGACAGACCACAAGGATCATGGCCTCATTGGAAAAGGGCATCAAACATGTGGTTAAATATTTTTTGTCACCATTTTTGGAGCTAAAAATGTGATTACCACTGATCAAGGACTGAACTCCTCTATTCAGTTTATTATTTGGGGATGTGGAAAGAGAAAATTATAAATCCCATATTCTTTATCTCAGCCTTGAGTAGGATGCATACTTGGAGCCAGAGACTACCAGGCTGAAGTAGCAACGTGGTGTTTTTGTTATTAGCTGCCATGGAGTCGGCCCCTGACTCATGGTGATGCCATGCGCAAAGGAGTGAAATGCTGCCTGGTCCTACACCATTCCCATGATCAGTTGTGGATCAGACCATTGTGATCCATGAGGTTTTCATTGGCTAGATCACCAGGCCTTTCTTCCTAGTCTGTCTTAATCTGGAAACTCTGCTGAAACCTGTTCAGCATCATGGTAATATGCAAGCATTGACTGATGAATGAGTAGTGGCTGCACATGAGGTACATTGGTAGGAATCAAACCCAGGCCTCCTTCATGGAAGGCAAGAATTCTACCCCTGAACCACCACTGAAGCACCACTGCCTCATAGCAATTTGATGAGACTCCCTGAAAAGGATGAAAAGACTGTTGACACAGTGTCTTGAAAGACAGGCGTTCAGTTTTACTGCTTATTAAACAGATGAGGGACAGGTTAGGAAAAGCCAGCAAATATTCCCTTACTAGTTACCATGCCGCTTAAGTTAAATCTATGCTTATTCTGTATTATCATCATAAAGTTGAATTTCTGTTTAATTCTGTTTACTAAGAAAGGCAAAGAGATTTTTTAATAGTGAAAGGATTATTTTAATAGTTCCAAGAACAGTTGACTTATATCCTTGAAACAATTAATATTTGTTATAGAAATCAACATAATAGAATGTTTGCCATAGAAAATTGTATTTGTTCACTGAAAGTACTTAAACTTTATTTGTTGTGAACTGTATATACCATAATAGAGACTGATTTTACTCACCAGGCTTGTGATACTTAGCCCACTAGCTGTGACCTCACTAATCTTGGTCTAATTAACTCAACCAGTATAAAAGGACTGTAGAATTTCTTTTAAACTAGGAAAACAGATCCATTTAAATCATCTTACAGATAAAAGAAAAATAACTAACAGACTAACCTTAAAACACAGTGCAGCATCCTGATTTGCTACAATAGAAGGAACTAGTCCCTGAACAATCTTCTCTTAGCTTCCTTGACCCAACACTCTATTCTTGGTTTTTCACCTACATCTCCAGTGGCTCCTTCTTCGTCTCCTTTGCTGGCTCATGGATCTGGTATATGTCAAGGCTTGGTCTTAGGTTGTCTTCTAATTTTATATTTTCTCCATGGACATAGAAACCACTATTGTGGATTTAAATATGATTTTAACAGATGAATCTCCGATATAAATTCCCAGCCCAGACCTCTCTTCTGAATTCCAGATACATCTTTTTAGCTACACTTTCATCATCTCCACTTGGACATGTTAAGTTGAAGGTAACTGGGAGGCATCTATAACTTAACTCATGGTTCCACCTTCCTTTCACCACCACCATTCAAGAAACCTAGGTCTTTTATAGAGTTCCCTTCAGCAAATGCTGCCCACTCAGGATCACAGAGACTCCTGGGAGTTCTCCTTGACATCATCTGCCACCTTATGCCCAGAGCTAGCCTGTCACCAAGTCCTGACAGTTCTACTTGCTCAGTATTTCTCAACTGCATCTCCTATTCTCATTTTTACAGCCATCACCATGATATAGGCTATGACACTTTCACCCCTAGATCACTCCAATAGCCTTCCCATTGGGTCTTACTCTGCTCCATTATCATTACATCAAAGTTGATTGTGTTGCCTGTTTATAACCTTCCAAGGGCCTCCCCAGGCCTCTAGAATAAAGGATGAAAACCAAAACATGGCTGGTGCCCAGTCCTTGCCTGCTCTGGCCCTGCCCACCCCGTCTGTCTCATATGTCCCCACTCTTGTCCTCACTGTCCTCACTTCGGGCACCCTGCTTGGCTTTTGGTTATCACTTTGCCTGGTTACCTCCTGTGTGTCCCTCAGTCCTCAGCTCAAACATTTCTTCCTCAGGGAAGATCTCCCAGGCCAGGTCAGGTGTCGACACTGTCATTGCTCTGCCTATTTATATTCACATGCTAATGAGGGCAAGAACTCTGTCTTGTTCACAGCTTAATCCTCTGGCCAGGCCCATTATAGGGACCTGACAAGTACTTTTTGAGTAAATGGATAGAGGAGGAAGGTGGTAGCTTAGAGGAAAGGTTTAAAACAAGGAAATTTCAGTTTCCAGGCAAGAAGTTGAATCTTTCCTGAGATACCAACAGGGGCCCTATACTGCCTTCCTGGGAAAGAGAGGGTACATAGGGAAATGCTCATCTGACTCTGTGGGACCTACTGTAGTCTTCAGAGTCCCCTTGCCTTGCAGCTTTTAGACATAGTGGAAAGATGGGAGGCTCTCTGTTTAAAAGGCTTTAAAAAAAAAAATGGACTAGTTTTGGAAAAGACCTTAGGTGGGATCTGGACCAACTGGATTACTTTTTAGCTAAGAAACTGAGACCCAGAGAGGGGAGCGAGTTGCCCAGTGACACAGAGCTGTTGTATGCTTTCTCCATACACTACGTAGTTTTATTCACCTTGTCATCCCTTCCCTTACCCAAACTTAGAACAGGGAGAAGATTCCAGGTACAGATAGAGACTCCTAATTCCAGAGTCCTCTACAGGCTACATGTAGCTTGGCTGGGAGAAGAACCCTAGCTTAACATCAGGGAGATCTGTTAACTTCTTGGAAGACCTTGGGAAACTCACCTCATCACTGTGGGCTTCAGTTTCTTCAAATGGCAAATGATGATAATGTAGTGACTTTGTGAAGTCAGCACAGCCCATGGATCCAAGAAAACTTATGTATTTAGAAACTTCTTAGAAATTCTTAAGTTCCACAAAGGGTTGACATTACAAAACTGGTAAATTTGCCTAAAGCAGAGTAGCTTTGTAACGGAATGAACTTCCTTGTGTATCGTAGATAAAGGCAAATCTTCTGGATCCAGAGTGCCTGGTTCTGACCGTGGCTCAACCACTCTGTGGCTAAGGACAAATCACTGAATCTCTAGGTGCCTTGATTTCCTCATCTGTAAAAACGAGAAACAAAAGAAGCAACCTTAAAAATTTATTGGGAGAATAAAATTAGTTAATAATATATCTAGCACTTAGAATAGTCTGGCACATAATAAATGCTACATAAATGTTAGCTATTTTATTTCATTACTGTTGTTGTTGCTATTGTTGAGTTCCCCAGTGCCAGAGGGGCCCCGGCATAGATTTGATGACTGTCAGGAGTGCTATAAAGAGGATCCTGGCCTGGGTGGGGAGTTGGAGTCTAATGTTTTTGTCAATGCTGAAATTCTAGAAATACACAAAAATCAGAAAATATATTTATTCTGTCATTTCCCACCAGGTACTTTTTCCTGTCTGTACAAGGGACCCATGGGAATTCTCTGATCTCAAAAGCTCAGAAATTAGACAAACTTCCCAAGGACAAAAGAGAGCTGAAAATTCAGAGCTGGAGAAGCAAACAGAGGCCAGCCCTTGTCCCTGAAGGAGCTCAGCCCACCCTCCATCCAGGGCCACCTGTCCCAGCACAGGACTTCAGAGCCAGCACGCCAAAGAGCTCTTCCCCTCCCAAGGTGAAGCACATGGAGGACTGGGAGCTCCATGGAAAGAGGTGCAGCAGAGACCACATGAGGGACGAACCGCACTCAGGGGGCTCCTCAGCCAAATTCTTATCTGGAGAGCACCTTCTGGGGCCCAGTAGGGCCATGTCTCCTGGACCTTACTCAAATGGACAGATTAATGTGCCCCGGCCCTCAAGCAGGGGCAGCCATCGCAGATCCCAGAGTACACTGACCGTCTGAGGGGCCTGCAGAAGTCTGTACAAACTTAGAGAGGTTGCCCAGTAACTGGCACAAGAAATTGTTCGTCTTCACGGGATCAAGAATGTGCAGTCTTACTCTTTTTTCCCCATCAGTCTTGACTTCCGTAGAGGAAGTGCTGGCCCCAAGGGACAAAAAAGGGCTGGAAACCCATCAACGTCTGGTTTTCTCCTGCTGCCAGGTAGCAAACAACAGAGTTTTTGTAAGAAGGCTGTTTCTGTTATATAGAGCTCTCAGGTTTTTCAGCCTAAAGACATTCTTCTCACCCTGTAGGTGAGCACAGCCTATGACCTAATGCAGCTGGATCATAAGTTTCCAAGATTCCAGGAAGTGTTATCAACCCAGGCAATATCTGGGGATGTGGAAGTTTCTGGGTTGTCACACCATCACCCTACCATCAGTGCCAAGAGACAACTGCATCATCTTGAGTGTATTGCAATGATGGCCACACCAAGGTTAAGATCCCTTCTATCCATAGAGAGTGGGGTCTGCTTTTTGTCTTTTAGCCAAAGAAAACCACAACTGAAGATGAAAACTAGACTTGAACTCAGTGCTACAGACACTTCTTAGGGCTGTAGGGTTATAGCTGAAGTGAGAGACAGGAAGAAAGAGTGTGCTAAAGGAAACAGGTGCACCAGAAGCCCTATGTTTTGGCTATCAGACCTTGTGTCCCACAGTCTGGAGAATCTGCGCAGAGGCCGTGGGCAGCGCTCTTTTTTAAGTTATTTATTTTATTTATTTTGAAATAAAATTACCCATCCTTATTCAGCCTACAGAACAAGAAAATGCTAATTCAGGAAATCTAAGCACATCTGCACCCAGAAAAGGCCCATATGATAGAGCAACTCTGAGACAAACAGTGACATCTCAAAGGGTAAGGCTAGCATTAAACCCCATTAATTCAGCTAATCCTAAAATACCACCACCTGGAAGACACTAGTGTATGCTTCAGTTAAATTAATAAGAATCTTAGGGAAAAGAAACATTATGTAAGACTTTCCTAGAGGTCAAAAATAAAGGCCAAATATATAAAAGAGCTCAAAATGGTGTTTAAATAAAAGAATGGATAATAGAACTCTAACTTCAAGAGAAACTAGGCCTACTGTGGGCAGGGATAGCCTATCTCAGGTCTTTTTAAATAAGTCAGAACAGGCTATTGTGCCATCCCTCCGTAAGCCAGTGCCTATATTAGGCACAAATACTGGGATGGATAGAATAAGTGTGGCAAGTCTTTAAAACCAAGAGTCATAGCCACCAGCCATTAGTTGGCCTATTACTTGAGTAACTCTTGAGCAAAGATACCAAAAAGAGCTCAAAACTCAAGTTGGCAAATGGCAGGCTGAGCTGGTCCTCTGGCCTTCTCCCTGGCAAGCTAGACTGGAGGGGCCATTCAGAGCATCATCCGGGAGCCAGCACCCTGGATCTCTTTCACCGCCTCTGCCACACAATGACACCAGCACTGGCCACCTGGTGGGAATTCAGGGGAATCCTAAATAAGGATTGCATAAAAAGGGGCAGGTAAACACACCAGGTGAAGCAGTAACAGGGTAAACTCAGAACTTGGATCTCAGGGTCCTCCTTTCCCCACATGATTTCTGTTCACTCCTGAAACCCATAAGGAGCTAGGCAGGATGTTTCAGGAAAGAACAGAGCAGTGGGAGGAACCCTGGCCCTAGGAGATCTGTGTCTGAGTCTTTCCTCTGCCTCTGTCCTCTCTCGGAGCCAGGAGCCTTGAAGCAGGATGTCACACATTCAGATTAGCTTAGAACTGCCCTACCTCCCAGGCTTGGTGTAAGGATCAAGTCAAAACTACATGGGGTATGTGAAAACCCTTGGAAAGCTGTAACAGTCTTGGTAAGAACACAAGGGAGTTTTATTTCAGAGCTAAGGGAAGCAGAGGTGATGAGGAGGTTGGGGACATGCCTGACCTGCCTACCTAAACACCAAACCATGCCCAGCATTCTGATGCTGCTCTCTTACTAGGGTGACTAACTGTCCCAGTTTGCCCGGGTCTTTCCCAGTTATAGCACTGAAAGTCCCACATGCTGGGAAGCCCCTCAGTCCCAGGCAAACTTGAGGTTTTCACCTGTTCTTGCCCCCTCTTTGTAAACCCAAACAACTGTGACCATCCAACTTGCCATTTCCCTCAGGGGATAAAGTTATAACAACTATTTCCCTATAACATGCTAATGATTATACTTAGTACATTTTTATACTTTGATGATCTTTTACTGTTGAATGGAAATGTGGGAAGGAATGTTAGAGGGCAAAAAATAAATAAAGTTGGTTTTCTATAGATGCCTGCCAACCTGAAGTTCTTTGTCTTATCATTCTTTATGTTATGACCACTGGTTCTTAGTATGCTCCCACCCATCCATTCATCCATCCATCCTTGTTGTCACTCACTTGCTCATTCATCTATCCATGTTTCTATCCATTAAACTTCTGTTAAGACCCTACGAGGTACCTAGCAAGGAGCCCTCATGGCACAATGGTTAAGTGTTCAGATGCTAACCGAAAGGTCAGTGTTTTGAGCCCACCAGCTGCTCCATGGGAGAAAAGACCTGCTGATCTGCTTCCATAAAGATTACAGCACAGGATACCCTATGAGGCAGTTCCACTCTGTCCTATAGTGTTTCTATAAGCCAGAATAGACTCAATGGCACACAAGAACAACAACAACAGATACCTGTCAATGTGCTAGAGGCTGTGAGGAACACAATCCCTGTCTTACAGAAGCTCAGAGTCTTAATGGACCTCCAAGGCAAAGAGTATCAGGAGAATATCTGATCAAACCTGAAAGCAGGATCAGCCAAAAGGGCTATGAGAAGTAGAAGCAGCACATACAATCCTCTCTGTCTGAAACTCTAGTCTGGCTACTCTCTTCTTCCAAAAAGCCTGACACCAAGCCAGGGGCAGATTAACTAGTAAACACGGTACACACTGGCTTAAACGTGTTTATTTACTAATCTGTAGAGCACAATTTCATACAAGTGTCACCACATCTTTGGTGAAATTGTGCACTATAGATTAGTTAGTAAGTGCAATTAAGCCCATACGTAACTTGTTTATTGGGTAGTCCATCCCTGCACCACAAACCTCAACCCCAGACTGACTTAGGTACCTCTTTTCATTCACTCAGTCAATAAACATAAGTTGAGGACCTGCTGTACACGGCATTGTAGTAGACAACAAGGATAAAATGGGAAACAAAAACAGACCCAGCCCTGCCCTCACAAAATTCACCATCTAGAAGGGGAGACAGACAACATACAAGGAATCCAGTAAGTGTGGTAATTACACACTATGAGAAGCGGCAGGAATGAAGGGGATTGAGTAGTTCTCTGGGGTAGTCAGAGAAGGTCTCTCCCAGGAGGAGACATTCCAGCTGAGACATTAACCATGAAAATAAGACATCAGGGAAGGGCCATTCCAGGTGAAGAGAAAGAACTCTTACCTACCAAGCTCTGAAAAAGGAAAAGAGCTTAGTACGCTCAAGAAAAGGAAAGGAGGTCAATGTGACAAGAACACGGTAAGCAAGAGGAAGCGCCATGATTACATGAATAGTAAGGATTATCTTACTGTGTGCTTGGTGCTGGTAGGGAGTTCCTGGGTGGTGCAAATGGTTAACATGCTCGGCTGCTAATCAAAATGTTGGAGATCTGAGTCCATCCAGAGGCACCTCAGAAGAAAGGCCTGGCAATCTACTTCTGAAAAATCATCCATTGAAAACCCTGAGTAGCACAGTTCTACTCTGACGCATGTGGGGTTGCCATGAGTAGGAATCAACAGTCACTGTTTGTAAGGTATTGGTCTAATCACACATCATCGGGTAAACCTTCCAGAAACCCCACAAGGTAGGTAGTATAAAAGTTAGCTTTTGCTACATAATAAACCACCCCAAAACTAAGTGAATTAACACAGCAATCATTTGTTTACCCATGATGCTGTGATGTGAGTGAGCAAGCTGGGCCGGACTCTGCTGAGACATCTCATCTCTGCTCCACTTGGTTTTCACTAAGCTAAGTTCTATGTCTGGGGCCTTGGTTCGGAGGGCCAGGATCTCTCTTCACTTGGTCTCTGATCCTCAAGGATGCTAGCCAGGCTTGTCACATGGCAGCAATGTTCTGAGAATAAGAACAGAAGCTGCAAAGCATCTTCAGACCTAGGCTCAGACCTCACACATGATCACTGCCACCACATTCTATTGGTCAAAGCAAGGCACAAGGCCAACCCACTTTCAAGGAAGTGGGGAAATACACTCCTCCTTCTAATGGGAGGGACTGCAAAACAATATTTGAGGCCATTTGCAATCAACTTCATGCCCATTAACAAAGGGAGAAACTGAGGCAAAGAGAAGTTACCTAAACATGGCACAGCCACATAATTAACAAGTGGAGAGGCAGCATTCAAACCCAAGGATTCTGAAATCAAAGCCTGCACTCCCAACCGCAGAGCTAGGCAACTGTGAGATGAGGTAGAGAGGCCAGATGACAGAGAGTCTTGTCTTTTAGGCATTCTCTTGACAAACAAGTGACCCAGTGGTTAGGGCAGGCTGTGGCATCCAAGAGCCTGAATTCCATCCCAGTTCTGTCACTGGCTGGCAGTGTGACCTGGGGAAAGGCAACACCAAGCATGCTCAGCCAGGTTGCTCATCCAAACAAAAGCTTCAGTGATTAAGGAAGATGTTGTTCTTATTGTTAAGTGCCATCAAGTCAAGCCCCAACTCATGGCAATCCTGGACCTTTGTGACCCATAGAGTTTTCATTGGCTGATTTTTTGAAAGTAGATTACCAGACCTCTCTTCCTAGTTCATCTTAGTCTGGAAGCTCCACTGAAACCTGTTCAGCATCATAACAACTCGAAAGCCTCCACTGACAGACAGGTGGTGGCTGCTCAAGAGGTGCATTAGCCAGGAATTGAACCTGGGTCTCCTGCGTGGAAGGTGAGAATTTTACCACTGAACCTCCACTGCTCCCGATAAGGAAGACACTCACACGTAAGGTGAGCCAGAACCCATGTCTGCCCTGCCCTATCATGTCTCCCCATGAGCTGGTCACCCAGCCAGAATGTCCCATTCTCTGCAGAAAGCCTCCAGGAGAAATCAATCACACAGGCGTGAACTCGGCATACAGCA